GTGATAGAAGAATTGATGTCTTTGAGCTGTGGTGCTGTTATTTAATATGTCATGGAATGCTAGAACAAGTTTGTCCTAGAGAGGGTAAGACCAAACTGCTTCTTGGAGACAAGGATTCTGAAGCTTTGTCTAATATACTTTGGACATGATGCAAGGTGGGACCAGTCCATGGACAGGTATATTGTGCTTTGCAAGGCCCTTGATACGGATTGATTTGGTGACTGGGGTAATTGTACTTTAGAGAGGTCTCTAACCACAGACTTTCCCATCACAATATGTGTTTTAATTTCCTGGCTGCTGGTGCCAAGAGTGTTGACTATGGAGCCAAGCAAACCGAGTCTGTGAACAATCTCAATCTCTTCACCATCCATTATGATGTTGCCAATTAGCCCAGTAGTGAGAATCTTTGTTTTTTTTTTTATATTGAGCCTCAAACCATACTGAAGAGTGTAGTCCCTGACATTCCACAGCAAGTGCTTCAGAACCTCTTCAGATTCAGCAAGCAGGTTTGTGTCATCTGCATAACACAGATTGCTGATGATTCTTTCTCCAATCCAGATGCCACACTTCTTCTCACAGAGCCCAGCCTCCCGGATAATCTGTTCTGCATAAAGATTGAAAAAGTATGGAGACATGATATACACTGTCTGGCGTACACTGTTCCCAATTTTGAACCATACAATGTTTCCCTGCTCTGTTCTGACAACTGCCTCCTGGTCAAAGTATAGGTTTTGCATTAACACAATCAAGTGTTCTGGGATTCCCATTCTTCTCAGAGTCAGCCATAGTTTGTTATGATCCACACAGTCAAATGCCTTTGTATAATCAATGAAACAAAGATATACATTCTTCTGGTACTCCTTGCTTTCAGCCAAGATCCATCTAACATTAGCTACAATATCCCTAGTACCACGATCCCGCCTAAACCCAGCCTGCCCTTCTAGTAGTTCTCTGTTGATGTGCTGTTCCAGACGTTTTTGGATACTCTTCAGCAGAATCTTGCTTGCATGTAATATTAATGATATTGTTCGATAATTCCCACACTCTGTTGGGTCATGTTTCTTTGGAATGGGAACAAATATAGGTCTCTTCCAGTCATTTGGACAAGTGGTTGTTCTCCAGATTTCTTGGCACAACTTGGTGAGCACATCTAGGACAGCATCTGTTAGCTGAAATGTGTCAACTGGTATACCATCAATCCCTGGGGCCTTATTCTTACTTAGCCAATGCTTTCAAAGCAGTCTGAACTTCTTCCTTTATCACCATAGGCTCTTGCTCATATGTTGTTTCATTAAATTCTACTGTGTCTGCCAATTCCTTTTGGTATAATGACTGTATACTCTTTCCATCTTCTTTTAATACTTGCAGGATCACTCAATATTCTTCCCAAAGTATCCCAAGGTTTGAATTTCCTCTTCAGTTCCTTGAGCTTAAGAAATGCTGAGCAAGTTTGGCCTCTTTGGTTTTCTGACTCCAGCTCTTTGCACATTTCATTGTAACACTTTGTCTTGTCACATAGCCATTTGAAATCATCTGTTCAGCTCCCTAATGTCTTGATTTCTCCTTTCTGCTTTGTCTTCTCAGCACTCCAGTGCAATAGTCAGTGTCTCTTCTGATTTCCATTTTGGTCTTTTCTTCCTCCTCCATATTTGTAATGATTTTTTGCACTCTTCCTGGATTATATTCTTGATATCTTCCTCATCTGGTCTTCGCTCGTTAGTGTTCAAGACCACAAACCTGTTCCTGAAATGGTTCTTAAATTCAGATGGTATAGACTCAAGGTGATATTTTGGTTCCTGTGGGCTTGATTTCATTTTCCTTAGTTTCAGCTTAAACATGCATATGACTAGTTGGTGATCTGTTCCACAATCAGCATCAGGCCTAGTTTTCACAACTGATAGTGAGCTTCTCCAGTGGTTCTTTCCACAGATGTAATCTATCTGATTCCTATGCATACCATCAGGTGAAATCCATGTGTATAGCCTGCGTTTATGTTTCTTGTAAAATTTATTTGCAACAAATAAATCATTGTGCTTGTGGGATTTTTTTGGGTTTTGTTTTGTTTTATTTACACTTACTATTCATTTCAGTAAAAATTTCCAGAGATTTTGAATTTCCATTCATTCATTGTTGCATTTTTCTCCTCACCCAACCCTCCCCCCTAGTACACTACCCTCTTGTAAAAGTAAAATTCTTTCATTGTTTTACAAACCCACCCCCAGGTCCACTCCACCATGTATCATTCTCTCTAGACTCCTGTCATGACAAAAATACCTAATCATATATCCCTTTTAAACTTGTTTTCTTCCTCATCTGTTTCAATGCAGTATACATTATTGAACCCATCTTTCTCAGTCTTTCCCCAACCCCAAGGTCAGTCCTGCCACAATAGTGGCAACATGTAGTATTTGTCCTTTTGTGACTGAGATACTTCACTCAGCATAAATGTCCTCCAGAGTCACCCATTTTGAATAATATTTCATGAGTTCCTTGTTTTTCAATGCAGCATAGTATTCCATTGTGTGACTATACCACAGCTTCTCTATCCATTCATTTGTTAATGGGCACTTAGGTTGTTTCCAACTCCTTGCTATTGTGAACAAAGCCGCAATAAACATGGGTGTGCCTATATCTGCTTGGATGTCAGTATGGTCTCTTTGGGGTCTATTCCCGTTAGGAATTGCTAGGTCAACTGGTATCTCTATTTCCAGCTTTTTGAGAAAGCTCCACACTGCCTTCCACAGTGGTTGCACCATTTTATACTCCCACCAACAGTGAATAAGGGTTCCAGTTTCTCCACAACCTCGCCAGCATTTGTTGCTTACTGTTCTGTTAAGTTTTGCTATTCTGACTTGGGTGAGATGATATCTCATAGTTGTTTTAATTTGCATCTCTCTTAGAGCTAGGGATTTTGAACATTTCTTCATGTGCTTGTTAGCCATCTGAATGTCTTTTTCAGTGAAGTGTCTGTTGATATCCTGTGCCCATTTTACTGTTGGATTATTTACCTTTTCTTGTTGTGGTGGCTGGTAGAATTTTTTTTTAATTTAATTCTTTATTTCCTTTTCTTGCATACTGTCAAATCAGATCCAACTGGCACAGAGGGAGATTGCTTCTCCTTCTCCAGCAGAGCATCTGATGGATTTGAACCACACCTCTTTGGGATTGCAATGCAGCTTATTTGCCACTAGGCCACCAGAGTTCCCTTGGCTGGTAGAATTTTTATCATCCTATCTCCAGCTTCATTTCTGTCACCAAGTCCATGCTTTCCAACTACTGATCCTTCTCTCTTCCCAAATTTTGCATTCCAGTCACCAATCACTATTAATGCATCTTGATTGTATGTTCGATTGATCTCTGACTGCAAAAGTTGGTAGAAATCTTGTATTTCCTCTTCTTTGGCTCTGGTTGTTGGTGCATATATTTGAATGATAGTGGTATTCACTGGACTTCCTTGTATGTGTATGGATATTATCCTGTCACTGACAATATTATATTTCAAGACACATCTAGAAATGACTTTTTTAACTATGAAAGCAACCCCATTTTCCTCACCTTTTCATCTCCAGCATAATAGATCATATGATCATCTGATTCAAAATGTCCCATTCCAGTCCATTTCATCTCACCAATACCTAATATGTTGATATTTATGTGTTCCGTTTCTTCCTTAACAATAGCTAATTTTCCTACATTCATAATTCTCACGTTCCATGTTCCAACTACTGGTGTCTACTTACTCTTCCTCCTCCTTACTATTTCCATACTTGAAAGTTCCATATATGTTGTTGCCCTATCTGCTAGTCTAAGTATGTTCTGTTGTACATAGGGTTTTCGAAGGCCTGCTATTTCATAAGTGGATGGCTAAATTTTCTTCCTAGTCTGTCTTAATCTGAATGCTCAGATTTAGAAAAGTATCTGACAGACAAGCATTTTGAAATATCTATGGGCAATTCTGCTCTGCTCTTTAAGGTCTTTGTAAATTGCTGGGTTTGAGGTTTTTATTTCATATAATTTAATATAAATTAATTAATATAATATAATTAATATAAATTATTTAATATAATTTAATATAATGTCAAGTTCTTTGGCACCGATGTTTAAACAATTGACTAGTAGCTGAAAGGTTGATGGTTCAAAGCCACTCAGATATGGACAGGCCAGGAAATCTACTTTTGACTGATCACAGCCGCAGAATCCTTTAAAACAGTTCTGCTCTGCACATGGGATTTCTATGGGAAGCCAAACTTTATACCAAATAGTATATGAAAATCCTTGTTCAGGAATTGAAGGAATTACAGATTTATAAGTTAGGATTTCTCTTGTGACAGATCATAGAAAATGAGCTGTTTGTTCTCTGCAGACAGGAGACAGCAAGGGACCCCCTACAGAGGGAGTGTTACTTCCTGAGCTAGAGTTCACCCTGAGGCATCAAGGCAATCCTTAAGGGTATACCAAATTCTTGCATCTGTGAACCCCTCCCTCCTGAGTCAAGCAGAAGGTTTTCAATAGAAAGAGCTTGGCTTCATTTGCATTGAATTCTCTTTGTGATTTACTTCCTGATAATTTTCAATAAAGATACAGAGAAGCTTGGCTTAGGGTCTTCAGTGGAGAACTGCTGGCCCCCTGTTTTATGTTCTCTGCTCTATCTCATTCCTGGCTGTTTGTGTCATTATTAATAATTATAAAATTATTCCATTCTTTGGGTCCCTCGGTCTGCAACAGATTTATGTTAACCAGAATTGGCTTAGCAGCAGCAATCTCAACAATTAAATAATCCAAACCAAACAAATTAAAGAACCCAAATAGTAATCTTTGCCCATATTACTCATTGGCTTTCTTGTGAGGACTACCTGAGAGCCCCCTGGTGTTTGAGGGTTCTCAGGAAATCCCCCTTACTCATCTCTTCCAAACTCCCTTGACCATGTCTTCATTCATCTGGCTCTACCCTGAGTCCTGGGACTAATGTTACATTAGGTATTAAACTTGATAGTTCCACCATGACATTCCTGGCAGATTTTGACCAGCAGTCCCTGGTCTTCACTTCTGGGGTATTTTCATCAGGCTTTTCCATCTCTAGTATATGTCATTCTTATTATGAGACAATATCCTCACTGGACCAATTTGGTAGGTGGCTTGATAGCTGATATTCTGTTAGGAAGCATTCCGTGAAGGAAGGGCTCAGCAATGAAAATTATCAAAATGTTGCAGTGGTTAAGGCATTTGGCGGCTAAACAGAAGGATAGTTTGAAACCTTTAGCTGCTCCTTAGGAGAAAGAAAAAAGTCCTGTAGAGATTAACAGCTTTGGAAATCTCATGGCGCTGTTCCACTCTATTGAAATAGAATCAATTCTGTGACAATGGATTTTTTTAGTTGTATCCAGTGTTTTTTATTTCTTTAATGAGATTTGTGGCTTTGAATTCTTAATTTTATCCAGAAAGCACCAGAGGAGGCATCATTGCTCCCCTTCTTCTTTTTTCTTACCCCTGCAGATGAGAGAAGATGGGAGTATGCTGAGAGAATCCTGAATGTAGAGATCTAGAAATGTTAGTTGGAAAACAGTCTTTAAAATATGAAAATTGGGGAGAAGTTAAAATCTTTGTAGTGCTTTATTTCTATCATCTTTTAGCTAGCCAAAGTGCCCTACCCTGTTTATTTTTCTTTTAAATGGACTGTATTTCTAGTTTATTAATGAAATGACCAGCCTCAGTGTATTTAGAGTTATAAAAGATTGGGGAAAAACCCAATAAGGACATTTTCTTTCCAATTAAAAAAAAAAATAAAGAGCTAAAAACTCATGAGAAAGGAGATGGATATCTCAGCTGCAGCTAGTCGAAGATGCAGGTTATATTCACTCAGCCTTCTTTTTTATGTTGTCAGCTGTTTTAAACAATATACTGATTTCCACTGATGAAGTTTCTCTTCCTTCTCTTTCCAGGTCACAGAAGCCAAAAAGCATTGCTGGTATTTTGAAGGACTTTATCCAACATATTATATGTGAGTATTTGCCCTCTTCAGCTATTTGAGCCTGTGACTGTTATCTTTCTCTGGGAATCATGTCTTTGTTGGACAGAGGACAAGACTCTGTTAAAGAATTCTTTTCCCCTCCCCTTCTCTCTATTTTCCAATCTCATAGCTGCCTCTGCTGAGTTTTGAGCAGGTGGCTTTGGCATCAACACCATCCTGTTCTGATCACTCACCACAAAATCTAATGAACTAATGTGGGCTCTGCCCTGTAATGCAAATTAACTCATATATGATTGATACAACAGGGAAAGATGACTGAGGAAGGCAAAAGTTAGGTTGGTTTATTCATAATATTTCCTATGCAAAATGAATGAGGATTCGAGAGAATTATGGCTTTCAGCAAGCCAGAGGGAAAGTCCTCAGCTCACCTGCAAAAGTGTTGTGTACTGTATGGGATAGCTAAGGGGGGAGCGGTAGGAGACAATGAGATTGGCTCAGGTTAGGGCAGGATTCAGAGCTATTGCAGATAGGGTCACTATGAGTCATGGTCAACTCAATGGCACATAACAACAACAACAATGCTGGGATATGGTATATCTACTCATATGCAAGTTGAAACTGAAGCTTAAGAAAATAAAATCAAATCCACAAGAATGAAAATTTGACCTTGAGTCTATCCCACCAGAATTTAAAAACCATATAAACCATATCAGGAACAGTTTTGAGGCCTTTAACACTAATGAGCAAATACAAGATGAGTTGTGGGATGATAGCAAGAATATCATCCATGAAGAATGCAAAAGGTCATTACAAAGACAGAAGAGGAAGAAAAGACTGACATGAATGTTGGAAGAGACTCTGAATATTGCACTAGAGCACTGAGAAGCCAGAGCAAAAGGAAGTAATCAATACATTAAGAAGCTGAACAGATCATTTCAAAAAAGAGCAGCTTGGGAAGACAAAGTATTTTAATGTAGTGTGCAGAAAGCTTAAGTCAGAAAATGAAAAGGGATGAACTCATTCAGCATTTCTTAAGCTGAAGGAACTAAGAACAAATAAGTCTTGAGTTGCAAAACTTAAGGATGCTATGGGCAGAATATTGAATGATCCAGGGAGCATAAAAAGAAGATGGACGGAGTACATGGAGTCACTGTACCAAAAAGAATTGGCTGACATGGAAGAATTTCATGAAACAGTATGTAACCAAGAGGCAGTGGTGACGAAGAAAGAAATTCAAGCTTCTCAGAAGGAACTGGCAAAACAAGGTTCCAGGAATTGGTGGAATTCCAGTTGACATCTATTCAACAAGAAGGTACATCCCTGGATGTGCTCACCAGGTTGTCCTAAGAAATCTGGAGGACAACTACCTGACCAACTGACTGAAAGAGATGCATATTTATACCCTTTCAAAAAAAAGATGATCCAATAGAGTGTGGAACTTATCGAACAGTATCACTAATACCACACACAAGCAAGATCTTGCTGAAGATTATCCAAAAATGACTGAAGCAGTACTTCAGCAGAGAACTGCCAGAAGTGCAAGCTGGGTTTGGAATAGGCTGTGGTGCTAGGGACATCATATCCAATGATGTCAGATGGGTAGTCAAATGGATCTTGGCTGAGAGCAAAGAGTATCAGAGGAATAGCTGGCTGTGTTTCATTGACTATGCAAAGGCATTAGAATATGTGGACCACAACAAATTGTGGCTAAACTTGAAAAGAGTGGAAAACCCAGGACACTTAATTGTGCACATGTGAAATCTATACTTGGACCGGGAAATAGTCCTCAGAACAGAGCAAGGGAACACTACATGATTCAAAATCAGGAAAGGAGTGTGTCAAGGATGTGTCTTGTCTCCATACCTTTCAATCTATACGTGGAACAGATCATTCGAGAGGTTGGAGTTTATGAGGAGGAATGTGACATCAGGATTGGAGGAAAACTCATCAACAACCTGTGTTACAGAGATGACAAACCCTTGCTTGCTAAAGCTGAGGAGAACCTTATTGAATTGTTTGCTGCAGAAGGTCAAGGACTATAGTCTTCAATACGGATTAAAGCTCTTTGTGAAGAAGACCAAGATTCTCACTACTGGGCCAATAAGCAGACCATGATAGATGGAGAAGAGATTGAGACTATTCACAATTTCATCTTGCTTACTTCCACAGGCAACACTATTGGCACCAGCTGTCAGAAAATCAAAAGATGAATTGCATTAGGAAAATTTGCTGTCAGGGACCTCTCAAGAGTGGTGAAGAGGCAACAGTGTCAGTCTTGAGACTGAAATGTGCTTGATCCTGGCCATGTCTTAGCAATTATTTGCTGTGCATCAGAGAACTGGACAATGACTTCAGATGATAGAAGAAGAACTGATGCCTTTGAATTGTGGTGCTGGAGAAGAGTAATGAATATTCCAAGAGAACACACAGGTTTGTTCTGGATAGGGTGGAACCAAGTTGCTCATTGGAGACAAGGACTTTAAAGCTCTGTATGACATACTTTGAGCACATTGCCAGGAGGGACCTTGGACATCATGCTTAGAAGGATGGAGGGACAGCACAGGAGAGGAAGACCTTGAATTAGATGGATTGACACAGTGACAGAGGTAATGGGTGTAGGTGTGTCAGAGACAGTGAGACTGGCTCTGGATAGGGCAGGGTTCAAAGCTGTTGATTACTATGAGTCACAGGTGACTTGATGGTACAACAAACCCCAAGTAGATGGATTTATGTAAAACAACAACAAAAAAAAACCCCAAACAAACAACTGTGAGTTGTTTTGGGGTTGCTGAATCAGACCTCTACTAACACCACGAAGGGCAAGAGCCGCCATCCACAGCATCCACAGCACATGCCTTTTCTGAGAGGTCAGACATGCTCCTGAATCTGCTTCTGCCAATTCTACTCTCACCTGACCCTTACAAGGCTTCCACTGCTTTGCTTCTGGGTCTGCTAATCTGTTGCAGTGACTACATAGAAGTCACAGAACTATACTCACATTTATGGGATTTATTAGGGAAGAGAACAGATTACATTTCAGGATGGAAATAGGATCGACTTCTGTTACTTACAAGCGTGATTGGAGCTCTTTGACTTTCAGCCTCACAGCTTTAGGTCCATGTTACAGAGCTCTCTCTGTGTTGCCAGTTAGGGTGTCATACCTAAGTCAGTTCCTATCCCTCTAGGAAGCTTGTGGAAAAGCCCCTGGATTTGGATTTGTGACCAGCTGTCCCAGGTCAGCTCTGCCTCACTTCAGTCTGGTTCTCTGCTACTGCAGTGTCTTGATCTCAGTCTGTCTTAGTCTTGTGCAGAAATTCCTGACTCCACAGGACTTGTGCTATATTCTTTGCTGCTTCTTTCTTGCTAGTACCAAGATTCCAATCTTTTGCTTCTACATCTATTTGATTTAAGCTTGTTGAGATAGAAAAACAGATCAGTCCACTCATTATAGTAATCTATACACCTTGTTTATATGCTCCCACCCAGCCATGTCACAAAAGTCAAAGGTTGTGTTATAGGAAAGCCATTTTGAACAACAATCACACTACATAACATTTTAACAAACAGAAATTTATTCTCTGAAGTTTAGGAGACTAGAGTTCAAGTTGAGGATACCAGGCCAGGGGAAGACCCATTCCCTCTATTAGATGTGGAAGTAAGTCCTTGTTTCCTTTAGTGTGTAGCCTGGAAATCCTGGAGACCTGTGTGTTTTTTGGCCTTCCCAATTCCAAGGACTTTTCCTTATGCAGAAACCCAGGTCTAAAGGGACACACTCCACTCGTAGCAGTTCTTTCTTAATAGTACAAGGGTCCCCCTCTTCTCAGCTTACTATCCTGTCTAGTGAGATCACAGGTCAGTCTGTGACATACAAGTATGTGTGCTTGTGTATGCACGAATACATGCTTTTGTTGTTGTTAGCTGCCCCCAACTCGAGTACAACCCACACTGACCCTGTGAACAACCAATCTTATCCTGTGCCATCATCACAATCTCTGATATAATTGAGCCCATTGCACTGGTCACTGTGTCAATCATCTGGCATAGGATCTTCCTCTTTTTGTTGATCTTCTACCTTTCCAAGCATAATGTCCTTCTGTAAGGAATAGTTTCTCTTACCAATATGCCCAAAGAATGTAAGATGAAACTTAATTATCTTTGTGTCATGATGGTTTTATGTGTTTTTAATGCCGAGCCATCTGCCTAGAGATTGTGTTTTGAAGTTCTATGGGTTCTTAAGGGGATGCTCCAAGTGATCTGTATAATTAATACAGAATTTTTCAAGGCATGAGAAGTTTAATAAGTGTACAGATTTCATTATATCAATTGTTGTTATGTGCTGTCGAGTTGACTCCAACTCATAATGACCCTATGTACAACAGCTCTGAACAGCTTGAGCCAATTTCATTGTCTCTGACACACCTACCTCCATCATCCCAGTTACTGAGTCAATCCATCTCATCAAGGTTTTTCCTCTCTTGTGTTGTCCCTCGCACCTTTTCAAATATAATGTCCCTCTCCAAGGACTGTTCCTTCCTTGCAGCATGTCCAAAGTGTGTCAGACGGAGCTTCAAAATCCTTGCCTCCAAGGAGTAGCCAAGTGTCACACTCTCCAGAATGGACCTGTTTGTTCTCTTAGCAGTCTGTGGTATGCTCAATACTCTTCTCCAACACCACAACTCAAAGGCATCAATTCTTCTGTTATCTGAGGCACAAATAGTCATTGATGTTGAGCTTCAATCTATATTGTAGGCAGCAATTCTTGAGCTTCTGCAACAAATGCCTTAGGCCCACCTCAGTTTGACAAGCAACATTGTATCATCTGCATAACAAAAAATGTTGATGAGACTTTATCCAATCCTAATGCTACCTGCCTCCTCATAGTGCCCAGCCTCCCAAATGATCTGTTCCGCATATAGGTTGAAGAGGTATAGAGATAGGATGCATCCCAGCCATACACCTTTCTTTATTTAAAACTACAGTGTTTCCTCACTGTGTTCTGATGACTGCCTCCTGGTCCAAGTATGTTGTTT